TTCGAAAAGAAATAGGTCTATTCAAAACACAAGTGCTCAAGACGAAACTCAACTGATCAAAATCCAAAAGTTCCGGTATTGATAGACAACTACTATTAGAATATCACATAAGAGTTCATACTAGGGTGAATTATGCTAGAAGAAGAAGAAGAAGACCTAGCCTTTTGACTACCGTGCGGTATAGAGTGCTGTCCGAGAACAGTGTCAAAAGCTCGATATTTTTCCTATATCTATTACTAAATGTAGCTGTGGACAGAAGGTCAGCCTGACTCAGAGTTCTCCCGTTTAATCACTTAAGCTCCTTGTATATACATACTGACTAACCACATACTAGTCACAAGGATTTTAGTGCGTGCCAAGCATGTAGTCATTTTGTTATCGGATGGATAATCCGAGACAAAGCAGTAGTTAGGGACCTGTCCAAAGTCATTTTATGACTGATGGGACCGAGATTCGAACACAGTACCTTGTGGATATGTGTCAAACATCTTAGCCATTCAGTCATGCTCGCTGGAATTATTCTAACTGATGCACTTATAGATTAGAATAAAGTTTTTAATATGAATACTTAAGTATCAACAGTATTTTTAGTGTGAATATTAATCTCACATCAACATAGATGATTATTCATCGCAATACAGAAGTGACTAATCGTTATAAACACTATTAGTGTGATTGTGGTAAAGACAGAAAGGCTGTGTTATACACAAAGATTAAATTAAAAATGTAAAACAATCAATCAAAATTTTTTTCATCTTTCCAAATTGCATCGCATTTTTACAAAATGATTATAATTGAATCATTGTAGTTCTGTTCAATTTCGGCCTCTGACTCATAAACCCTTATACCATTTACTAGGGAATCAAAAACGGTTTTTTTCCACTAATTATTCTCCGTTTTTTTTGGGTGCGTGCTTCGAACTTCCTGTTTCGACTGCTGACAACGAAGAGTCAATTCTCATTAAAATTATTTTTCAGGGAAATATGCGAAGCTGTCGTTAGTGTATACATCGTAAGAAGAGTTTGGCGCTCAGATGGAAAACAGACTGAATGACTGAAGCTGAAACTGTTAAAGAAACTTACTCCTAGGTGAGACAGAAAACTTTTCTCGCCGAAAGCCCAGTGGGTGAGAGACGTTTGTCAAAATTGGAGAAAACCGAACAGGAAAAGGGGCAGAAGAAAAAACCTTTTTATCGAACGTCCATTATAAATGACGTCTTGACAGATTAATTGCGTTTGCTGAACAATTAGAAAAACTTTGTAGAAATGTGCATTGAATTTCTAATTGATCTTG